GCTGAACCAAGCACAGGCTGACATACATATACTCAAAATAACCTACTCTTTCACTTGTTGCTGTATCCAGTGGGCCATCATATTTCTAGTATCCTGTGTTTTTTGTGTGTTAGATGTGCCCTTAATTAGACTTGCCATGTAGACAGCCCACTCCTACATGAGGTTAAGCTGCTGTGTAAATAAATAAAAAGTAGGAAAGACAGCTTTTGCTAAAAATAGAAGCTAGGTTTAAAAACAGTGTTTTGGCCTTGGGCTTTTACTTAGGGTTTCAGAAAACAGAACAAGCTCTTTGTTTTCCATTACTTGTAGAAAGCGTAAAAATAAAAATATTACTTCTCATCTAATTTTGCATTACTTGAGTGGTTTTTAGTAAACCCCTTTTTCATTTAGAGTAAACTGCTATAAATTATGCTGGGATGGGATCATTACCAGTATTAGTCAAAATATTGATTTAACTGAAGAGCTTCTGTGTTCTGACCTCTGTGATAATACTTGAAACTCAGAAAAAAAAGCCATCAGAGCACATTTTTGAGCAATGATTTTGTTTCAAAAGGTTATGTTTCATACAGATGATCAAAAAGGCAATATGGTACAGCCCACTTAGGATACCAATTCAGACCGTCACTGTCAGCCACCTGGTAACTTCACTACAGTAGCATTAGTAATTTTTAGCATTTGAGGTTACTGACCAACTGCCATCAAAATTACTATCTGTGGATTAAAAGACTAGTCAGTCTGTTAGTTAAACTGTGTTCATAGGCAGTTGACTCCATAGGTATTTCTTGCTCCAAACAGGCACAAAACCAACTACATCTGAAATGGATCTATGATATTATCTTAACTTTCTCTTACAGTAGGTTTTAAATGCATTTCAGTCTTTTTAATGTGTCTTTGCAGTGTCTCTGCCTGATGGATACTCTCTTCCACATGTATTTTTCATGCAGGAAACTAATGCAGAGAACACTAGAAGAAACCAAATGGGGAGTTAAACACCTAGTACTTGGTGGGCTGGTTAGGGCTGTGAGTTCACTGCCTCTGGTAGCTGCTCCTGAATTATTAGAGGTGGGTGGCTTGTGCCAGGAGCTCAAATGCTGTCTAGGGCCCTGTCTCAGTGGTAAGCCAGTCCCCGTTGTGTGTCTGAAGCCTGCTGCCAGGAGATTTAGCTTATTCCAGTCTAAAGCTCCATTTCAAGTCATCATATAAGGAGTGTAAAAGGTCAGAGGATCAAACTTGAGTATGAAATTGAGACCTGAGATAATAGCATGGATGTAAGAGAGCAAGTGATACTAGTACCTGGACATCTCTTTTAGATAAGCAATAGGCATGTGTTCCTTTGTGCTTTCTGCCTCTTTTCTGTCATTCCTTTTTTTCAGTATTTCTTCTCACAGTCTTTTCAGTCAAGTAGTCCAGCTTAAACTGGAGTGGTGTAACTTTAACATAGCTTTTAGTTTAGTGGGTAGAGTGCTTTTCTAGCAGATGAAAGAGCTTAGATTGGGGAACTTGAGAGCCATGTCACCCACCTCATGAGCAGGAGTTAAAGATGCCCAAATTGCTGTAAATTCTTACAGGCACCAGGTCATCCTTGCCTTGTTGACTGGCCAGGAATTGAATAGCAAAGTCATCATTATAAGTTATTGCCCAGGCTCCTTTAGGAGGTTCCTAACAAAACAGGAATGAAATTGCACAATAACCTCGAACCATAAAGCTTTCACTTGATCTTCCTCTTTGTGACTGATTGACAATGATAAGAACCTGCATAAATGGTGATTGTTTATGCAAGTGCTAGTAGTCTGTGTTGACACATGCATTTCGTGTTTTTCCTCGTTCCGTGGGACCTTTTTTGTGTGTCTTTATTTTAAGATAGGAGATTTTGAATAACTGAAGGTTCTTACTGCATGATAACATGTATGATAGTTTGTCTTGGGTGAAGGGACTGGGCAGTACTGCTATTGCAGGTCCTGATCTCTCAATGTAAAATTGGATTGATTTAAGCTGATTCAGTGCCTTGGGTTTCATTTTGTTCTGCATGAAGGGATTCCCAATGCTGGGTGCTGTGCCACAAAGCTCCATGTGTTTCCACATTCTTCTCTGGTTCCTCAGCTACACATGAGCCTTCACATCCTTTACATGTGCTTCATGTCAGTCTATATTTACCAGTGTTGGTAACTTAAAATTAATTTTTTTAATTTGGTGGGTTTGGTTTTTGGTTTTGTTTTTAGTTTTGGCTTCTTAATATATTTATTTCAGAGTTTTCCAAAGCAGTGGGGGAAAAAAAAATAAAATAAAAAATTGAAATTTCTATAATTTAAACAAAGGACTTTTTTTCTCTTATGTTGCAGACACAGATATTAAGGAGCTAGAGGATGTTTTTGGACTTAATGGACAAGTAGAGCATAAGCTGAACTTCCTCAAAAACAATGTATCAAAAGATATAAAGCTGGTACTGATTGCTCATTCTATTGGTTGCTACATCACACTGGAGATGATGAAACGAGCATCAGAACTTCAGGTACATTCACCTTCTAGAGTGGGAGTGTTATCACTAGCAAAGCAGTGCACATGCTTCATTTATGGGTAATGCCATGTCTTTCCTATGGAAGCTCTATTCTGCTGTACACAAACTTTAATTTCAAATTAAATGAAAACATTAGTGACTACTCCTAATAATGGATATTAAAGTAGTTGGATGTAAAATAAAGTTCTGACTCTGAATTTGGATCTTTAAATGCCCCTGCAATATAAATAACTGCTAATGATGATAAATATATTTAGGACTTACTTGTTGTCTTCTCATCTTTAAATAATTTATAAAGATATTGCAATTACATTATGTTAGTACATCAAAAATTAAGACTGGTTATGATTTCAATAGGAGCTATTTACCTCAAGGCAAGCAGATTGCTGGCAACACATGGGGAAATGTATGGAAAAGAATCATTATATTGATTGTGCTGAGTACTATTATGAAGGATGTTTTTAAAATGTGATACATATGCATATATCATTGCTTTTGCAACTCAGTCTTGGTTTGTGTAACTTGATGAGAGTGGGAGGAGTTACTAAATGTTCTTGTGTATCTGTGTATTTTTCCTTGTCACAGTGAAGAAATAAGAAGGCTGAGGCAGGACCATGTCCTTGCAACTCAGGAAGTGGCAAACTGTTAGTGCTCTACTAGCAGATGAGGAATGAAGAGTACTGAATTTCTATTCAGCAGATGAGGAATGAAGAGTACTGAATTTCTTTAAGTATTTAAGTATTCAGTCTTGCTAAGTCATTGCCTCTTCCTTGCCATTATAAAATCTTCAGTGGAAGGAAGTGTAGTGTTAGTGTAAAGTCTGTGTTTAATATATGCATGAGTATGTTCTTCCACTTCTTCATAACCATTTCCAGTCTACCTGTCACTCTTTTGCCATTAAAGAAAACAGCAACAAAAACCATGAAACATGAAGTTAGCCCGATATATTTCCACGAGAGCATTGCACTTTGTGATTATAAACAAGGGCACTTTTTTTTGAGACAGAACTTTTATTACTGTCCTATCTTTTCAAGAGGGAGGATTCTAGAAGATACCATATGCAGCAATTTGTCCAAAAATATCTAATTTTCTCTGGTCAACAGCTTTATTTCAGAAATTACTTTATCTGGTTTCAATTAAACTAAGAATTGTTGAGTAATTTTTTCACACCTGGCTCACTGGATACTGGCAGCAGTTTGGAAACATGGGGATCTTTGGGACAGTTGTAGGCTGCATGGTGCACTGCGTGCATGAAGTTAATGTTTGACAAGCTACATTGAAGATGCATTTAACAATAGAAAATATTTGTGTAAGCCAGAGTGTTGTGCAACCTTTGTCCCTTTGCCAAAAATAAGTTAACTGTTAGGTTTTATAACATATGAAGTGTGATAATAAGAAACTTGTGTTTCCATCTCTTTCTTTATTTTTACTGGAATATTTGATTCCCACAAGATTTTGAGAACATATGTGTATTTTAGTAGCTAGATCATTTGATTTTGTTTTTGTGTAGTTCTTGTGTGATACTCTTTTATTACATAAGTTTGGGTTTTGGTCTTAAATTGTTTGCTTTAAGGACCTTTGATTACTTAGAGTTTATTATTCTGAGCTAGAGGTTAATGTGTTGTATTTATTGTTTAGATAATTCAGTAAACATTTAAATTTGGAGTGTATGTTTAGCAATTTAAACCTGTTTCATAATCTTACCAGATATAGACTAGATTATACCTCTCTTGTACAATGATGAGGGAACCTGCAGAATTTCAGCTAGCATACATGAAAAGGACAAAGTACTATCTCCTCTTTCCTTCTTGCTCTTCAGCTCTCACTTTTGAGTGCTAATAATTTCTTGGGCCCTTGTGCTCTCCAGATTAATGGGCTGCTGTGGACTTTTTTTCTTCAACTTCTGTGAAATATGCTTTCTTGTTTCATTACAAGAGAAATTAAAAAGGAATTGCTGGTTTACACCAGGATAAATTCAGTTTTGGACCCCGTCATCCTTTTTTTCCTGTTGACTCTCAGGGAGATTTCTATTAACCGTTTCTTCAGGAGACCCCTTACCACAAACTTAGCCTTAGGCTGATGGCTTTAGCTCAGTCTGTTCAGTAGAGATGGGCTACAGGTTACATCCATGCTTGAAACTAAAGTGGGGCTACTACATGGATTTGGGTACTGGGCCAGCTGTGTAGTGATATTTTGGACCAGTCTCTAAAGACAGTTTTTGGCCCAGAGCAACTCTGAGACAAGACCCTGGCCAGGTTCTGAGCTTGTCAGAAGCCCAGGGCCATTCCCTGTAATTAATTTGGATCCCAACATTCTTGTTTTAGGCAGGTAGAAAGTCAGCCATGTGGACACAGAGCAGCCCATGCCACCCTGTTCCATGGCAGGCCCAGGGAATAGTTTCTGGCCATTCTGTTTGCTGGCACACATGTGACTTTGAACACTTCTGTTCTCATGGTGGGCGTCAAATCTTAAAAAGACATCCAGACCTTGTCAACCTGCTAAATGTACAGCTTACTTGGTACTTGGTCTTAACCATCATCTTCCTCACTCTTCATTCAGCCTGCAGAATGAAAAATGAAACTGAGTGACAAAATACTTTGTTGTTGGAACTTGAGCCTAACTCATAAAGATGCTCCAACCTCCAGGCATCCTCTTCTAAAATACAAATCCTTACTTGGAGAATTTCCTTGAAGATGTCACTGCTGAGTCTTTCCTAAAATAGTCCATTTAATCATGACATATTTTTGACATATTTTTTCGCTTCTGCCAAAAGCTGAACTGGACAAGGAGATAGAATTTAATTTTGCCACTGTTGGCAAATGCATAATTGGCCATCATAGCAAAAAAAATCCCACCTGCTAAATGAGTTGTTTTTCACGTCTTTGTATGTGATGAAAATTGTTACATATGGGGAGGGAGGAGGGAGTTTGTAACTTGTTCTGAAATGGTATAAAATCTCACTTGGACAAATACTAGATTCTCTCACTGCTGCCTTTCTGCCTCAAAACAAGTTGGTTCTTTTGTCTCTGGTTAGTACTTAGTTCCTTTCTGTTGAAGTACTTGGAAATTTCCCTCTAACTTTAGTGAAAGTAGAATTAGGCCATAAGAGAGAGAAAACATGTCAGAATTCCTCTGCTAAATGATTTATTGTGATACAAAATTCAATGCAGTGACCCTTTACATCAATAATTTAGTTTCAGTTGCTTTGAAAGCTTTGTTACGAGTTTGGGAAGCACTTCCATAATGTTAGGAAAGAAAAAAAATCACCATGTTTTTAAATATGGGTTTTCTACAAGAAAACAAGATTATTCAGTACAGCATCACTGGAAATCTGGAGGGACTATAAAGCTATGGAATTAAAAGGAGATTTTTTTTTTATCAGTACAGAAAGTGCCTAAGCATGTCTGACCTGCAAGATAAGGGAATCTTTTCAGCAGCATGAATGGGTGAGGGAAAGACTGTATGAAGGCAGTGACATTTATTCAGTTCCTGTTTGCTGATATTATAACCTAGACTGGTGGTGTCATCACTACAGAAAATATCTTTTGAAAGGACACTAATTTAGCACGTTCTAACATCCTTAGAAGTTCTAGTGCTTTTTGGAAGTAGAAAGAAAATGCAAATATAAACACATCTGAGGTAAACAGGAATGTGGAGGGAAGGAAGGAGGGAAGGAAGGAGGGAAGGAAGGAGGGAAGGAAGGAGGGAAGGAAGGAGGGAAGGAAGGAGGGAAGGAAGGAGGGAAGGAAGGAGGGAAGGAAGGAGGGAAGGAAGGAGGGAAGGAAGGAGGGAAGGAAGGAGGGAAGGAAGGAGGGAAGGAAGGAGGGAAGGAAGGAGGGAAGGAAGGAGGGAAGGAAGGAGGGAAGGAAGGAGGGAAGGAAGGAGGGAAGGAAGGAGGGAAGGAAGGAGGGAAGGAAGGAGGGAAGGAAGGAGGGAAGGAAGGAGGGAAGGAAGGAGGGAAGGAAGGAGGGAAGGAAGGAGGGAAGGAAGGAGGGAAGGAAGGAGGGAAGGAAGGAGGGAAGGAAGGAGGGAAGGAAGGAGGGAAGGAAGGAGGGAAGGAAGGAGGGAAGGAAGGAGGGAAGGAAGGAGGGAAGGAAGGAGGGAAGGAAGGAGGGAAGGAAGGAGGGAAGGAAGGAGGGAAGGAAGGAGGGAAGGAAGGAGGGAAGGAAGGAAGGAAGGAAGGAAGGAAGGAAGGAAGGAAGGAAGGAAGGAAGGAAGGAAGGAAGGAAGGAAGGAAGGAAGGAAGGAAGGAAGGAAGGAAGGAAGGAAGGAAGGAAGGAAGGAAGGAAGGAAGGAAGGAAGGAAGGAAGGAAGGAAGGAAGGAAGGAAGGAAGGAAGGAAGGAAGGAAGGAAGGAAGGAAGGAAGGAAGGAAGGAAGGAAGGAAGGAAGGAAGGAAGGAAGGAAGGAAGGAAGGAAGGAAGGAAGGAAGGAAGGAAGGAAGGAAGGAAGGAAGGAAGGAAGGAAGGAAGGAAGGAAGGAAGGAAGGAAGGAAGGAAGGAAGGAAGGAAGGAAGGAAGGAAGGAAGGAAGGAAGGAAGGAAGGAAGGAAGGAAGGAAGGAAGGAAGGAAGGAAGGAAGGAAGGAAGGAAGGAAGGAAGGAAGGAAGGAAGGAAGGAAGGAAGGAAGGAAGGAAGGAAGGAAGAAAGAAAGAAAGAAAGAAAGAAAGAAAGAAAGAAAGAAAGAAAGAAAGAAAGAAAGAAAGAAAGAAAGAAAGAAAGAAAGAAAGAAAGAAAGAAAGAAAGAAAGAAAGAAAGAAAGAAAGAAAGAAAGAAAGAAAGAAAGAAAGAAAGAAAGAAAGAAAGAAAGAAAGAAAGAAAGAAAGAAAGAAAGAAAGAAAGAAAGAAAGAAAGAAAGAAAGAAAGAAAGAAAGAAAGAAAGAAAGAAAGAAAGAAAGAAAGAAAGAAAGAAAGAAAGAAAGAAAGAAAGAAAGAAAGAAAGAAAGAAAGAAAGAAAGAAAGAAAGAAAGAAAGAAAGAAAGAAAGAAAGAAAGAAAG